TGGGTATAGACGATTTGTTATACAGTAAGTACAGTTGTATGCAGTAAAATCCTAGAGGCTACTGTCCAATTAATTGTTGTTATTAAAATGTTGTAAATAAATCATGTAAATATTTGCGTTAATTGGAAAAAAAATGTTAAACAGATAAAGATAGAAAAATACAGAAAACAGGAAAATAATTAGAAAACGGATGGGATTCGATCCTGCGACCATTCATACTTGGCGCCAGCGTTGTAACCATTACGCTGCTGCGACATATTGAAATTAAAATTTTGGATGTGCTATGTATATCGCGAGAAAACAAGCTCAACCAATCAGGCGTCAGTACCGTCAGTAACAGCCAATCAGCGCCACTTATGCAAATTAATGCCACTATGTGAGTGGGAATAAAAATCACGCGCGCGGGCCATAGCCACGGCAGCAAGAGCGAAGAGAATAACGGCTTTCATAATTGCTGGTGAAGCTCTCTGTAGGTAACCGTACGATTTTCGCTGTTCAGCGTAGTATAATATACTCCACTCCCAATCAGTTGTACGCTCAGGAGATAAGATAGGATGGGAAACGGGCCAGTTGTCTCTCCCATCCATGTGTTTTCACCTTATCTCATACAATACTTTTTTTTATAGATCGGTTTCACTGACTCATTTACAAGAGAATGTCTAGTCATTATCGCATGATAATTTGGGTGACGGTTTTTGTGCCTGTATGACTCCATATAACATTTACGATTTTACGGCGACATTTGTACAGCGATTAAAGCGGTAGTTTTACAATTTCTAGTATTTTTTATTTAAATGCACCATGATATGGATGAAATTGCACGGGTCACCGAGAAATATCAGGTTCATATTAATAATCGTCGAATAACGAGTTCGAACATGAATTCAGCGCACGCAACTATAAATTGGTAACAGATATGTTCGCTGTTCGTGAGATTTAAAATTAAGATATTTCGTATAAATGTACTCGTATGTGTGTGTGTGTGTGGGGGGGGTGCAGGTAAGCGTGCACGTGTCCGTCTACAACACAAGTGTTTGTATATACCGATAGTTATAGGCTGGTCTCTGGCTAACGTGTGTGTCAATTGCATGCATACGAAGATGAGTGAATGGGTAATGATAAATTATGGCCCCTATTTGCCTGCGCGACTGTTTCCTAGGCACAAATGTGGTGCCCGTGAGTAAATTCGCGATCATTTTTTTTAAATCGGCGGTAAAAAATATGACCAAACTCATATGAAACACAGCTGAAGTACGTGGCTATCTAGCTTTAATAGTACCACGCGGCAGAAAACAGTCAAAATAATAATTTTCGGCTCTTGAATTTCAATTCTCAAGTAGATGATCCTCTCCGGGATTTATTAGTTGTGTGCTCTCTGTCAGACTGAATTTTTTTCGGCAATTTTTACATTTTCGCATATTAATAACCTG